ACTTGTTCGCTTCCTGGGGGCAAGTCAAGACATCTCGCTCTGCTCTATCTGGTCGTCCTGTTACTTCTTCAGAGGAAGATTTGAAGTTCCTCAAGCAGTCGATATTTGAGTACGTGTCCTTCATGGATATGGACATTGGTAAGGCTAGTGCTGCCAGACACAAGGATAAGCTTGAGCATTTGAATGCGAAGTTGGAGCAAGCACTGACACTTCCGTCGCTCAATCTTTCTGCCAATTTTAAAGCGACGTTGAAAGTTATCCATTCCGAGGTCCTCTCCTTGCTGGCCAAGAATGCTGAACTAAAGGTTAAAAGTACTCAATATCTTCGCGCCGTATCTGAAAAAGAGCCTTTGCGTTTGGAGATCAACAAGGCTGATGATGAGTTGAAAGAAATCTCTTCCGAAGTCATGATTGAAGACTCTTTGATGGTTAGTTTGGCTGCTCAGATGAAGGAACTTCAAGCCAAAATGGACGACTGCAAGGCGAGAATGACTACTAAAAAGCGCAATGCCTCCTAGGGAATTAAGCGAACTAAGTCTTTGGTCGAGCAGTACAAGAAGTTGGAAGTTGATAATGATGTCGTGGCCGAATTGAACATCACTTTCTCTCGGCAGAACGAGGATTGGGAAAAATTTAGGGAACGAATTCGTTCAGTATAGGGTGGATTGTAATTAAGACATATGACGCATTAACTTTTCTTTTTGTAATTTCGCATTTGACTTTCCCTTTGTAACCTTGTTCATCATTAATGAACATATATGTTAACTTCTTGTGCATTTATTTGACGTTTGTCTTTTAATCGCCAATTCTTCAAGCATTTAACTGCTTTGTGCTAAAAATTTTGCACATTTTCTCTTGATATTTCCACCTCTTTTCCTAAGAGTTTGGGGTACTTAATTCCATTTATTAGGCAGAATGTGGCTGCTCATATTCTGTCTCTTCATCTCCACCCCCTATAAATGTACGTATGCTTCGCACTTTCTATCTTCCATCTTCATCTT